CCCCCCCACGTCTCTGCATCCAGTTCACCCTCTGCACCCCAGACCAGCCCTGCTTGTCCCCCCGCCCCTGTGCCCCCGCCTCCAGCGTACCCCCTGCACCCTAGCCCAGCCCTGCTTGTCCCCTGGTGCCCCTACACCCAGTGCACCCCAGAGCAGCCCTGCTTGTCTTCCTGTACCCCCTGCACACGTGTACCTCAGCCCAGCCTCACTTGTTTCCCTGCACCTCAGATGGTAGAGCCAATTACACTGTAGTCACACCAAGCCCCTACTTGTATTCCTCTACCTGTGTACCCCAGACTGGGTCACATCCCACAGTTTAAGAAGTGCCGAAGGGATCGGCAGTGGAAAACGTCCAAGAAGCCCTGCCCTAGCCCACTGCGCAGTCAAGCGCTGAGCCCCACTTACCCCTGCGGGCCCCCAATCCCAAGCCTCACACCAGTGTGCCCCATTCCCTTGCCCTGATCCCAAGCCGCCCTCCAGGCTGCAGCCCTGCTCACCTGTCCTGCACCATGGATGCTGAGCCAAGCTTGCCACCCCTGCACTCTGTCCTTTGGACCCTGGGTACATCCTCGCACCCACATTTGTAGATGTGCCATGTGCATCCTGCCCAGGATTTTGGGGCTTCCCTGTGGGCCCTTCACCTGTTCCTCTTCTCTGCCATGGGCACCCCAGCCCTGTGTCCCCTACCCTGGTAGATGCCAGTCCCTGCCCCCTGGGCCCTAGATACCCCTGCTGTCCCCCAGTCTCCTGCCCTGGGCACCCCCATCCAAAGGGTATATTCATTATGCCTGGGGTGCCAGGGTTTGTGGGCCCTTCCCAAACTGCGCCCTCCAGGCCCTGCCCTTGCCTTTTGCATGCCTCCCGGTTTGCAAACCTAAAGGCTCAAACTTCCTACCCTAGTCTCAGGGGTCACAGCCCAGAGGCTACTAGACTTTGGCCATAGCCAAGTGCCTGGCTCCCTCTGGAATCTTTAGAACCTTTTCCATGCCCACCCCCAGGGCCGCAGGTTCTGGGCCCTGATTTGCCTCCAGATGCTAAATGCCTGGATCTCTTGGAGGCCAGAGGCCACCTGAGACCCTCGGAGGGCGAGTACGTGAGGAGCCTAGATGCTGACACTGCCCCATTTCACTCAGGCCTGGCTGGACACCCAGGGCTCAAACCTGGGCCACTTTGTGAATGGGAAGTGGCTGAAACCTGAGGGCCGAGGGACCGTCAGCTGTAGGGACCCATGTTCAGGTACCAGGGATCCCCCTCTCTCCAGGAGTCCTGGGTCTGAGGCCTGGCCCCCTCCCTGCTGGTCACGCTCCCTGGTCCTCAGGGGCGTTGGATGCCCTTGTTTTGGGGACAACGGGTGGGGCGCTTACGTCCTGTAGATCTAAGAGCTCTGTGGCTAGGCGAGATCCTGGCCAGCTGCTTCCAGGCCCAGAACGAAGATGTGGCTTTGGCCGTGGACGTGGCTCAGCAAGCTTTTGGAGGGTGGAGCCAGCTCCCTGGGGCCACTCGTGCCCAGCACCTGATCAGGTAAGGGCTCCCCTGCCTGGCCTTGCAGGCGGTGGAAGGGGAAGGGGGGCAAGCATAGACGTTCCTGCCGTCTTTGGGAGAGCCAGCCTTTAGGGCCCAGAGAAGCTCTTCCCTACTAAGCCTACTGAGCAAACAAAAAGAAACAGGCCCTGCCCTCGAGGAGCTTCTACTCCATTGGAACATAATCTCTCCTGAGCCTCTGGAAGGGCAGGGGGTGGACCTGAGCCAGCAGCTGACCTCACCGTCCCCTGCGTCCCCCAGGCTGGCAGAGACAATCCATAAGCATCAGAAGCTTCTGTGGATTCTTGAGGCGCTGGCATCGGGCCGCGTGGTGCGTGAGGTCCGGGATGGGGACATTCCTCTGGCCTGTCAGCTGCTACAGTACCACGCGTGCTGGGCCCAGACCCAGGAGCAGACCCTGGCAGGATGGGAGCCCATGGGTGAGAGCCCCCAGCCCCCGTCCCAGCGCTTTCCCCTGGGCCTGCCCCACACCGGCGTGCGCCATGCCAACCCTGCTCCTCCTTTCCCAGGAGTGGTAGCCGTCATCCTCCCGCCAACGTTCTCCTTTGTTGAGATGATGTGGAGAATCTGCCCGGCCCTGGCCGTGGGTAAGTCAGGGCCACAAGATGAACCTTTGGGGCCTACCCTGGACTCTTGGGTGATGGGAAGCCTGTTCTCACCCTTCTCCTGGCCCTTTATGTGTGCCAGGGCTGGACCCCACCCCCTTTTCCTTATTGGGCTCTTCTGTTTCTCACAAACCCTCCTCCTCCATCTTTCCTCCCCTTTCCAGTCAAACTCCTCAAAAAAAACCATCTACCCTTGCTTCCTTCATCCTTCCTCTCATTCTTTTCCAAACCCTCACCAGTCTGGTTCCCATGCTCATCATTCTGCTCTCTTCGGCGTTAACCCGTGACCTCCTGTTGACCCTGTGGTGACCTCTCTTCTCCAGGTCCCCCCCGGTCCTTCTCCTCCCTCTCTGACCGCTCCTTCTCTGTCTCCAGCCCACACTGTTCTGGGCCCCCTTGAGATGCTCTCCCTGGGCGACCTCATCAATCACTGTGGATTCCGTTTTCATCTCAACGCAATCCAGATCTGTGCGTCCAGCCCTGATCTGTCTCCCCAGCTGGATGTCCCATAGGTCCCTCAGACTCAGAATATCCAAAACAGAATGAATTCTCCGTCCTCCCAAAGCCTCCTCCCCTCCCGCTGAGGGCACCACCGTCCTCCCAGTAATAACAGCATTGCGCTAAGCACTTTACCCAGCCTTCCTCATTTCCCCTTAGAACCCTGGGAGGTAGGTGCTATGATGAGCTCCATTTTACAGCCAGGGAAACTGAGAAACCAAGCGTAAGTGACTTGCCCTGGATCACACAGCTTGTCAATTTACGAGGCTGGATTTGACATCCAGTCTTCTGACTCCATGTCCAGTGCTGTGTCCACGGAGCCCCCAGCTCCCAGGCTCCCAACCTTGGAATCATCCTGGATTCCTCACGTGCAAGCTCTTGCCAAGGCCTGCGGTTTCACCTACAACCCATCTCTTGAAGATTCTCCCTTCCCTCCTCTGCCGCCCCGTCCCCGGCGCAGGCCCTGGTCACCTCAGGCCTGGGCGGTGGCCGCAGCTGCTGGGGGCAGGGGCGGCTGTCCGCCTCGAGTCTCTCCCCACTCCAGTCCCTCCTCCGTTCAGCCACAGTGATTTCCCTAAACGTGTCCGGTCAGCCGTCATTCCCACTCACTGAGCTCCCAGCTCCACTTGGTGTTCGGGGCCCTTGCCGGTGCGGCCTCCGCTGCCCGCCTAGCTTCTCTCAGCGTTTCCGTCTGGGCCGAGCAGTCGGCCGGCCTTCTCTCCCCTGTCCCTCCCACGACACCCCCTCCTCTTTGTGCCTTAGCGGCCCGGAAGTGGACTTCTCCTCTCCTTCCCTCCCCTTGCCCCAAGCTGCCTCAGTTGCATCATCTCCTCCGTGCTTGAGAGCTCACGGAGGACAGTCCTGGCTTGTTTTGTAGAGGCTTGTCGATTGGCTCGCTCACTGATTTCTGGCCTCCATGCCAGGTTGTACTGTGGTGGTCCTTGGAGGCCCAGCCTCTCTGACTTCACTCCTTGTGGCCCAGCTGAGCGAGGAGGCTGGGCTGCCCCCAGGGGTCCTCAATGTGGTCATGGGAGCCACCTCCTTAGGCACCTTGCTCCCCACCCTGCCTGGCATTGCCAAGATCACCTTCTGTGGGACTGTGGAGGTACGGGGGCAGGGACTCAGGGTTTGGGAGGGCTCTGGTGTCCTGGCTGGGGGTGGCCGGCCAGAGCCTAGGCAAGGTGCTGAGTGGTTGGGGTTCCCCCCCGCCCCCCCAGGAAGGCAAGGCCCTGCGTAGGGCACTAGCTGGTAGCAGTGCTGACCTCTCCCTGAGCCTGGGCACGGAGTCTCTGCTGGTGATCACAGACACAGCCGATCTGGACTCAGCGGTGGAAGGGGTGGTAGATGCAGTCTGGTCTGACCGCAGCCCGGTGAGTGGCCTCGGGAGACGGCCGTGTACGTCCTGCTGGCTTCCCCCTCGCGGCTTGTGAGCGTGGTAGAGGACGGGAAGGGCGTGGAGCAGGGTGGGCCAGGCCATGGCAGCCCAGCTGACCTGGGCTTTGGGGCCTCAGGGTGGGCTGCGGCTGCTGGTGCAGGCGTGTGAGTGGGAACGGATCCTGGAGCGGCTCAAGGCCCGCATGCGTGGGGTGCGTGAAGGCCAGAGCTTGGACTGGGCCGTGGACATGGGCACACCTGGAGTCTCTGCCTGGGAAAAAGCCCAGAAATACGTTCAGGAAGCCCAGAGCCAGGGGGCGCAGGTAAGGAGCCTGGAGTGTGCTGGGCTGTGGGAGATGCCGTGGGGGGATACTCCCTGGATGGAATCGAGGGCTCCTACCACTTCTCTCCTTCATGCAGATATTCCAAACTGGAAACGTCCCCCGAGACAGCCCGTTCTTTCCCCCAACGCTGATCCTGGGTCTGGCCCCAGCAAGCCCATGTACCCAGGCAGAGGTGAGCAAGCCCCTGGATGGGGGACGTCCCAGGCACGGTGACCAGAACCCCTGGGAGCAGGGCTTGGGACACCTGGGTCCCTTGAGACCTGTCCTGACCTCTCTTCCCATGGTGGCTGCAGGTGCCGTGGCCTGTGGTTGTGATCTCCCCGTTCCGCACAGCAAAGGAGGCTCTGACTATGGTCAATGGCACCCCTCGAGGGGGCAGTGCCAGCGTGTGGAGTGAGCGGCTCACATTGGCCTTGGACCTGGCCTATAAGTAAGGAGGCCCCAGACCCTGGGCAGGTCGCTTTACCGCTGCCTGCCTCAGTCTCCTCTTCTGTAAAATGGAGGTCATAATAGCACCTACCTCCCAGGGACGCTGTGAGGAACGCATGTGAGGAGTAATTGTGAAGCTCTTAGCACAGGGCCTGGCACCTAGGAAGCATGACATACGTGTCACTGTCCTCATGGTCCTTCAGGGCTCCCCTTCTCATGCCTCGGAGGTCTCTTAACCTCCTGCTGACCTCAGGCTCACAGCCTCAGTCTCCCTCTGCCCCCAGCTGCTTAGTTAGACCCTACACGCCTTCCAGGGCTCCCCAGATCATCTCAACCCCCCACCCCCGGCCACCTCTCTGGGTGTCCCTAATGCTCTCGGTTTGTGTTCCGGGCTTTCCTGCCAGGCTCCAGATGGGCACTGTTTGGATCAACGCCCACGGACTCAAGGACGCAGGCGCCCCCGTGGGTGGCTGCAAGGAGAACGGGTCATCCTGGCATGGGGGCCCTGATGTAAGTGACCCTTGCACCCCCTCACCCTCCGCCACTGTCCTGTCTCCCTGGAGGGCTGCCTGCTCTCCTAACTGGCGCTCACCCCTGCAGGGCCTCTATGAGTACCTCCGCCCTGTGAACCTCCCACCCCAGGCTGGGCCCTCGGAGAGTGTTGACTATGACAAGTTTGGCCTGTCTGCCCCACCTGTCCTGCCATCTGGCCCTGACAACTCCTCCCCCAGGTCAGTTCCCAGCTCCCCCAAATCCTCCTGCTCGGGCCTCTGAGGGGGATCCCAGAGCAGGCCTGAGAACAGAAGTCTTGGGGTCCTCACCACAGCCTCTTTCTTCAGCACGACTGCCCCATATGGAGTCTTTTTGGCCGGCCGCTTCCAGAATCCTGCCAGCCGCAGCTCAAGGCCCATCCTGGGCTCCGATGGGAATGTCTGTGTACACGTGGCAGAGGGCAGTGCCAAGGACATCCGAGTGGCCGTGGAAGCGGCACACCAGGCAGCAGCTCTGTGAGTGGAGTGATGGGAGGCAGGTGGGCTGGCCCCAGCTCCTAGGGCCGCCGTCACCCAGCCTCTCTCCTTTCCCTGTCTGCCAGCTGGGCCAGTCGGGTGCCAGGGAGCCGGGCATCAACCCTGTGGGCGCTGGCTGATGCGTTGTCCCAGAGGAGCCAGGCACTGGCAGAACAGCTCACAGAGGTGACGGGCGTTGACCTTGCGGGCGCTCGGACTGAAGTGGTGCTGAGTGCTGCCCGGCTGCGAGCCTGGGGAGCGCAGGTCCATGCCCGAGGAGCCGGCCTGCACGTGAGCCTCTTCATTGCTGCCCCCATCCCTTGGTCCCCCATGCTGTCCTGTCTGGCAGCCCCCTGATCCTGTAACCTCCTCCCTCCAGAGCGCTGGGCACCAGGGGCCTTTTCTACGCCTTCGAGAGGCCCTGGGAGTGCTGGGCATCGTCTGCCCGGAGGAGCGGCCTCTGCTCGCCTTTGTGTCCCTCCTGGCCCCAGCCTTGGCCTACGGCAATGCCGTCATCGTGGTGCCCAGTGGGGCCTGTCCACTGCCGGCCCTCCAGCTCTGCCAGGTACTGGGCCCCACCTCCCCCCACTGCCTGCCCCCACCAGCCTTTCCTCCACCCCACTGTACCCGGAGCACCTTGGATAGAGCTGGATCCCGCCTCCAGTGTTCATTTCATCCTGCCAGGACATGGCCTGCCTGCTCCCACCTGGCCTAGTGAACGTGGTGACCGGCGACCGGGACCATCTCACCCGTTGTCTGGCCCTTCATCAGGATGTACCCGCTCTGTGGTATTTTGGCTCTGCCCAGGTACTCCCCCTTCCTGCCTGTGCCCCAGCCCCAGCCCCTTTCCCAGAGGCCCTTTGTTGAAGTGATGGCCAGCCAGGGATGGTTGGACCCAGCAACCTCCTAAGCCCTATCCAGCTTAGAGATTCTGGGCCTGGTCCCCAGTTTCAGACCTGGCCCTGGCCCTGCCCCTTTGTGACCTCAGCATCTCTTCCCAGGGCTCCCGGTTTGTGGAATGGGCTTCAGCTGGGAACCTAAAGGCCATATGGGTGAACAAGGGTCAGAGCCGATCCTGGGACCAAGAGACAGAGGGGGCCGGACCCGAGATGTGCCTTCGGGCGGCCCGCACTAAGGCTCTCTGGCTGTCTTTGGGAGACATCTGAGCCCCCCGCCCCCACCCCCTGCCTTAGTCCTGCAACCCATGGCTGCTGGGCACCTGGAAGGACTGAGCCAAAAAGACCCACGGAGCCCCGACTTGGCCCCTCATTGTGGTTCTCACCTGAATAAACGATCTGACGTACATCCAGTATGCTTCTGAGGAGAAAGAAGTGGGCTGGGAAGGGGTCAGGGAAGCCCGGGGTCCGCAGGAAGCTCCTTCCCTGGGCAGTATCTCAGACTGGGGCCCTCCGGCCTGCGTTCAGAGACTTCTGGGTGGGGGACCCCCTCCCCCGAGGGGCAGCCTGGCCACTGTGGAATCCTCCCAGTTGTGGGGAAGCTTCTCCTATGCCAGCCTCCGCAGCTGGCTCCTCAGTGTGCCCTCTGGTGCTGAGCAAAGCAAACCCGCTCCCCAGCTCCAGCAAGCTGGCCTTCTGTCCTGCAGGCCGAGTGTTTCCAATTCCTTCATCTGTGTGGCCTAGACTGGAGGCCCCTTGCCCTGCTCTGGACACCTCCAGCTTCTTGGGGCCCTTCTCAGGTCAATGCAGACAGGGTGTGGCCAGGGCAGACAGCTCAGCATGGAAATCACTTTTCCTTTGGGCTCCTAGGCCCTCACCCTGCCAAGTGTTACAGTCTCTTGCTTCTGAGGTCCCCTCGATCCCTCTAACTCCGCCCCCCAAGTTCCATTAGTATCCAGCAGTCTTTCTACGTCTACGTTCAACCATTTTGTAAGTGCTGGGCACCATGCTGGGCCTGGGGACACGGACAAGAATGAAGCCGTCCCTGCCCTCGAGCAGCTACCGTTCTGGGTGGGAACGGAAGGGGGTGACGGCTGCCATGCTTCTATACAAAGTACTCTGAGAGAGAAGCACCAGTGGCTAATGAAAGAACTAGAAGAAGGTGGCATTTGAGCTGAGCTCGGAAGAGAGATATAGTTTCTAGCAGACGCAGGCGAGGGGGAAGGACGTTTCCAGCATGGGCGGGGGGTGGGCTAGGGTGACGACCCATGCAAAGGCCTGGAGGTAGGAGATGGGATGGTGGAGAAGAGCGAGGCCTTTTAGGCTGAGACACAAAGTTTGTGAAGGGGAGTAGGACGTCATAGGGCTGAAGGGCAAGCTGGACCCAGATTGTGAAGGGCCTGGGTCTTTTTCAATGTTTTTGATGATTTCAAAAATTTTACCATAATTTCCTCCATCATCCCTTACCTTCCCAAACAGCCATCTCACATAACAAATAGTTATATTAAAAATGAGAGAAAAACAGGAAAATCATCCTAACTGATCAATACAGTGACAAAGTCCGAATATGTACAGTTCGCCTGCGAACCTACGCTCTGCAAAGGACGGGCCATCATCTCCTGTCTCTTCTTTCCAGCCTGGCTTGTTCTGTCTAATTTTGTTACATTTGCTGCTGATTTTTTTTTTTTTTTTGTGGTCATTCTTTCCATCTTAATTATTGGAGTCACTGTGTCTCTTTTCTGAGTTCTGCTGACTTCTTTCTGCATCAGTTCATGGAAAACCTTCCGGGTTTCTTTGTATTCATCCCCAATCCATGCTTTGTTTCAGTGCAGTGATCTCCCATTACATTCATGTGCCAGTGTGCTTAACCATTCCCCAACCGATGGGTACCTACTTTGTTTCCAAATCTTTGCCAATACAAGAAGCGTTGCTATAAATATTTTGATATATATCAATGACCTCCCTGGAATATAAGCTCAGTAATGTACTCTCTGGGTCAAAGGGTATGAACATTTTAGTCACTTTATTTGCATGATTCCAAACTGCTTCTACAAAATGATTGTGCTATTTGACAGCTTCACCAACAACGTACCAGCGTAGTGTAAAGGATTTGAAGTGGTAAATAGCAGCCGGTATTTCATCTATGAAACAAGCAATAGGGAGGCACTCAGTCTTGAGAAGAGCAGTACATGGCCAGTCCGTAGCACCTTCTCTCCTCTGCCTCTGTTGTTCCCACCTCCTTTCTCTGACTGTGTCTTTTAGTGTATTTCTCTCTATCTGTCTCTGCATGCTGATATCTCTGCTTCTCCTCTCTGTATTTCTTCTCTTCCACCAGCTGCCCGTTTGGGCGTTGTCCCTCTGGACTCAAAACCTCAGAGCTTCAAGGTCTGAGAGATTCCCCTGTCCAACCCACTCCTTTCTCAGAAGGGGATAGGGCCTTGGATAGAGCTGAGAGCAGGGACTCTAGAGGCTAGAACCCAGTGCTCCCAACTCCCAGCTGATTCAGACCTGAGGAAGGACCCAGGCGTCCCCTGCCTCCTGCAGCTCAACTCAGAGCCACCAGAGGGCTCCTCCCCCATGGATTCCCAAACTTTTCCCCAAAATATCTTTCACTTTCGATCTCTGATGTCTGGGCCCAGACCTGCCCTGGGCCTTCCCGGCCTGGACAGGGACCCTGGTGCGGGGCTGGGATAGCATGCCTGGGTCCCAGAGGAGATAGGGGAGGGGACGCCTGGGTCCCCAAGGGGTCTGAAAGAGGGGGAGTGCCTGGGTTAAGGCTAAGATAGGGAAGGCTTACCTAGATCTCCATTAGGGTTGGGGGGATTGGCTACCTGGGGAGGGAGGGTGGGGAGGGATGCTTGGGTCTCCAAGGGGTTTGAGAAAGGGGGTGCCTGGGTTGCCAAGGGAACTGAGACATGGGATGCCTTCCTGGAAGGTTGGGCATAATTCACAGTAATGAGGCGGGGGCAGGAAGCAGGGTGGGGGAGGAAACTTAGCCACATGAAGGGGCTGGGGGAGGGCACCCGGACGCCTGGGTCCCTGGCTGAGCCGGCTCTGTCCCCCCCAGGGCCCGGCAGCGGCATGAGGGGCCCCAACTCAAGATGACCGCCCCAGCCTGGCCCCTCACTGTGCGTATTCCCAACAGATGGAGACAGGGATATGGGAGGCAGAAATAGGGGGGAAAGATTGAGATAGGGATGGGGGTAGCATCATCAATATTGAGGAGGAAGGAAGACAGCTACGGAGACAGGGATAGGCAATCAGGAGGAATGAAGACAGAGACGGGAGACAGGGATGCAAGAAAGGGGAACAGATACAGTGTCAGGAGATGGAAATGGGGACAGACAGATGGTGATGGGGAAAGTCAGATGGGGAGAAAGGCAGAGCCACATAGGACTCAGGATGACAGAAGAGACATGGATGAAAGAAGAGAAGGGAGACACGAAAGACAGACACAGATACGGAAAAGAGAAAGGGAGGTGAAGGCAGAAGTGGGGAGGCAGGAGGAAGAGACCCGGGTGGGGCAAAAGAGGCAGAATCGAGGAGACACGTCCAGACAGAACTAGGACTGAAGCAATGCAGATCCGGGGAGAAGGGACCAGGGGCCTCGTCCCAGCCCCAGCTCTGTCTCCCCAACACCCCAGGCCTTCAAGCTGCTGTTCCTGCCGCTCCTGCTCCCCCAGAACGCCACCGCCAGCGTCGCGGATACCTGCACCTTCCCCGACAGCCCTATCAGCTCCACCTTCCTCCAGGCCATCAGCGACTTGGTGAGAGTTAGTGTGTTCAAGCTCTGCTCCTGCTGCCTCTGCCTACTCTCCATGACTACATTTTGGCATCGAATGGTCTCTTTCTCTCCCTGCTTCTGACGTCTGAATTTATTTCTCCGTGTGTCCTGGAGTCTACAAATCTCTGAGTGTCCTTTTCTTAATACGCATTTCTCGGTCTCTCCAAGACCCTGTCTCCCTAAATCTCTGTCTCCGAATATTTTATGTCTGTGTTTATAGCTCTGTGGCGGCGGAGAGTCTAAATCTGTTTCTCTCACACTGGGGATACAGATAAGTCTCTGTCTGTTTCTTTTCCTGTCTGTCTCTCTCTGTGTTTCACCTAATCTCAGAGGCTCCCAGGGCAAGAGCCCTAACAAGCATCTCTCCCTACAGTCTGACTACGTGCTCAGGGACTACCCAGTGGATGTCCCGGCCAATCTTCAGGTGGTGAGTCTGGTGGGAGAATAGGGGGGGAGCCACTCTTCCAAAGCTCCCACCCACGGTGGGGAGACCCAGCCATCCCTACTCTGCACTCTCTCAAGGACTGAGGCATCCGGGCATCTCTCCCTAGGACGAGCAGTGCTGGGCCCTGTGGCACCTGGCCTTGGCCAAGCAAACCCTGGAGCGCCTGAAGCTGGTGGCGGGGAGTAAGCTGCAGGTCCCCCTGGAGGCCGTGTACACCGAGGTCAACTTTGTCAGTCAATGCATCAACCAGGTCAGTCCCTTGCTCTGTCCCCGAGCTCAGTCCTAGGCACCTTCTGCTCCCTGGGGGTCTTCAGGCCCACCGCAGGTATAAGCAGGTGCCTGGGAGGCTCTGCTGAGAGAGAGAGGGATGAGGCAGCCTTCATCTGTTGATTCAAGCTGCTGCTAGGGCTGGCTCTTCCCTAGGCCGTGGGGCTCTGAGAAGGGGGGACTGATGTGGTGTGTGACGCCCCCCACCCCCCTTCCTCGGCTCCCCAGTCCTTTCCCAGCTGCCTCCGTTTCCGCAAAGCCAACATCTCTCACCTCCTCCTGGATGTCTCCAGCCACCTGGCAGCCCTGCAGACCCTCATCACTCACCAGAGCTTCCAGCCCTGCCAACAGTATCGCTGCCAGCCAGGTGAGGTGCCCAGGGGGAACCTTCTCCCTTTAGAGGGAGCACTAAGGCTCCAGAGTGGGGAGGGCGGGACTGTGGGCTGCACAGCCAGTAGGAAGCACTCTACCTCCATCCCCCTTCCCACAGAGCCCTCCACTGTCTCCACGCTCCCCTCATCTGGCAGTCTTGGGGCACTGGGAAACACCCTGAGACCACCCAAGCCCTCCCACTTTCATCTGCTGGCGCTGGGGGTGCTGCCAATCCTGCTGCTGCTGATCCTGGTGGCTGCCTGGAGATGGAAGCAAAGAAAGAGGCAGTCGAGGCCACCAGGATCCCCCAAGTCCCCAACACCCCAGGTGAGCCTGGCTCAGCTCACTGTGGGTGGGATAGTGGGTACCCCCCCCATGCACAGACAGCAGCTGATTCCATGCCTGGGGGCTGTGGCTAGGGCCCCCCAGACTCTGTCCCCCAGGATATGCAGGTGATGGTGCTTTGAAAGAAGACATGGATGTCTGGAGGGCCTTGAAGGCAAAACCCAGAAGCTGGGGCTACCTCCTGAGGAAGCCTTCCGTAAGGAACCCAGCTTAAGACTGGCCTCCTTCCTTTCTCCTTCGATGAGTCTTGAGTTATTGCTCTCTTCTTGGGGGGGCTAAGCACCCCCCCCCCAAAAATGGTGCCTGCTGCCCCTTCTCTCTCCTCGAGAGGGGTAACCTGCAGGGTACCTTTGGACCAGCCCACCCTCTGTACAAAGCTCTGAGGATGTATATAAAACATTTTCTAATAGATTTTGTTGGGTGGAATCTGTGGACAGAGACAGGTCAAGGCAGGAGATGCCCTAGCCGGCGTAGACCCCGATCTGGAGGGTGGTCAGAGGCCTGGGCCATGGCCACGTAGGAAGGAAGAGCCCTTGCAGGGGCTGGGGGTTGGGGGGGGGTTAGTCGAGACCGGGTTTCAGGGTCTCTGAGGAGCTGAAGTGTTGCCAGGACCCAGAGAAAGGGGTTCTTTCCCCATGCTGCGCCCCACACCCCTCGGCTGTGTCCAGATGCGGAATGGGCTGGCTGCAGGGGCAGGTGGTGAGCTCCCTGTTTCTGGAGGTCTCCAGCAGAGGCTGCATAAACTGAGCCCCACGAGAGGCCCGGAAGAGAATCGAGTGGGAACTATTCACCCCCCAAGCAAACTGCGCGCGGGGGGAGGGGGGAGGAAACTGACGCCACGCTCCCAGCCCACGACTGGTAACTAAGCAACCGGAGCTCGTTCCGCCTGGGCCAGCCTTGCGGCGGCTTTGAAGGCCGCGCTCAAAGGCTAGGGGGGCGGGCAGGCCAGGTCGGAACAATATCGGCGGGCGGCCATGCGTGCTTAAGATCGCCCCTCACCAAGATGGCAGCAGCTCGTGAAGGGCCCCCAACAGACATGGATCCCCGCCCCACCCCCGGCGCACGTCCTCAGACTCGCTGAGAAGCGTCAGCCTCTGCGCCTGCGCCAAACTCCTACCGGCCTCGTTCTGAGGAGCTCTCTGGACCGTGGGCCGCCGCGCCTGCGCCGCAGCCCCTCGCCCTCCCTGGGGGCAGGAGCGAAGCCATCTTCCACCTATAGAGAGCCGCAGCGGTCTCGCGTCACTTCCGGCGCCCCTGCGAGGTGGATAAGGAGGACCCGACGAGGCACGGCTCCTTCTTTTCCCGGGCGGCGTCGGCCATGGCGGACGGGCAGGTGAGCGCTCCGGCCTCGGTGGCGGTCCCAGGCTCCTCGGGAGCCTCGGCGCGGGGCAGTGCGGCCCCGCCGGGCAGCATTTGGGCCGCCCAGCGATGAAGGGCTGCGGGGGTCGAGCCGTGGTGTCCCCGCTCCTGCGTCTCGGTCACGGACCTGGCCTGGCCTAGGCTCCAGCCGTGGCGGGGGAAGGGTCACGTGGCCCCGGGGTCCCGGGCCGGCCCTGACCCCCGCGTCTCCTCCCGCTTCCCCCAGGTCCTGGTGATCGATGGGCGGGGCCATCTCCTCGGTCGCTTGGCGGCCATCGTGGCCAAGCAAGTCCTCCTGGGTAAGTGCGGGGCGGCCGTCGTGGGCGGGGGAGGGGTCCGGGGCCCGGGTGCGGCGAGGCCGGTGATGAGGAACATTCACCATCTTTCGTTCGAGTCTCACGACCATGAGACCAAACCATGCACCGCTCTGAGGCCTGCCCCGGCCCTCCCCTGCCGGCGAGAGACCCTCGACCGCCTAGTGTGTGGCACTGACCCAGACGCTCCTCTCGCACGCAGGACGGAAGGTGGTCGTGGTTCGCTGCGAAGGCATCAACATTTCAGGGAACTTCTACCGGAACAAGCGTGAGTCGGGGGGGGGAGGCTGTGGTCTTGCTGCTGGCAGGGGATGTCCTTTCTCACGATGGTCTTCAGAGGCCCTGAGCGATGGGGTTACTGTTGATTCTGCCTTAAGGCTCAGCTGATGCCGGCTTTAGAGGAGCGTGCTGCTTCCAGCATGGGGGGGGGGGGGTCCAGGACCGGACATTAACTGAAGTTTGAGGCATCTTTTTAAATGCCCTCTTTCCCCCAGTGAAATACCTGGCCTTCCTCCGAAAGAGAATGAACACAAACCCTTCAAGAGGTCCTTACCACTTCAGAGCCCCAAGCCGCATTTTCTGGAGGACAGTCAGAGGTGAGGGCCTGCCAGTGGCGATGAGGGGTCCGAGGGACCAGGGAGCTGAGACTATGATGATGCTGATATTTATCACATGTTCGAGTTCTACCGACCATGAGATGAAAAGCTCCATGCACCTCCATCTGAGATCTCTTGGGGGGGGGGCGAAATTTCTGTTCTTAGGCTTAAAGGTTTCTAGACTGAGCTTCTCACTATGAACTGTTCTCCCTAGGGATGCTTCCCCACAAGACCAAGCGAGGTCAGGCTGCCTTGGAACGCCTTAAGGTGTTTGATGGTATTCCTCCACCCTATGATAAGGTGAGCTTATCCAGAAGGGGTCTCAGTCCTGGCGTCAGTGATGTCTCCTTTACCTACATTGTTTGATATCTACTTGAGAAAAGCTTTGTTATCTGAGACGCCTTTTTCCAGACTGACTCTGGGGTGGGAGGTGGGCTTTCCCATATGCCTCTTTGTACCCTCAGTAGAGCACTGGCATTCCCTGTCTCATCTCCCAGCATCCTTAGTGTGCTGCCATCACCCATTGATTGGTTCCTTCCCCCTTGCAGCGGAAACGCATGGTTGTCCCAGCTGCTCTCAAAGTGGTCAGACTGAAGCCAACTAGAAAGGTGAGTATGAAAAAGGGGCTGGGGGTAACAGTGTCAAGTGTGCAGGCCCAAAAAGAAATGGTTATTTTGGGGGGCTTTTTTCAGAACCAGGAATGCTGAGGGATTTCAGGGGTGTCCTGTTTGGTGGGTGGAAAGAAAAGGTATTCTGGGTGTGACTTGTTAATCTATTCCCCACACCACAGTTTGCTTATCTGGGACGCCTGGCCCACGAGGTTGGCTGGAAGTATCAGGCGGTGACTGCTACATTGGAAGAGAAGAGGAAGGAGAAAGCCAAGATCCATTACAGAAAGAAAAAGAAGCTTACGGTGAGGCCTAGGTTCTGGGGGGTGTGGGTACCCCTTGGCAGATGATGTTTGCTCTCACGATGGTCTTCGGATGCCCACGGGGGACTGCCGACAAAGCCACATGGCTCAGCTGATGCCAGAGGGTGCAAGAGGAGGGCCCCAGCTGCTTAGTTTCTGGACCCGTAATCTTTTTTTTGTGTTTTCTCCCACAGAAACTACGCAAGCAAGCCGAGAAGAATGTGGAAGGCAAAATCTTCAAATACACAAAGGTGCTGAAGAAGCACGGGCTGCTGGTGTGAGTCCAATAAAGTCTATCCTCTACGGCAACTGGATTCCTGGCTCCTCCTTCTGTCCCCCTCTTGCCATCGCCTCCATCAGGGAAGGGAGCCCTCTGGGGGCCACCGGCCCCCCCCAGCAAGCAGGGCTTGGAAGGACATTCAATGCTATAGGCGTGTCCTTAACTGAGAAAGGCAGGATGTCAGTCCTGAGGTGTGGGATGCCTGCCTCTAGGAAGGAGTGATTCTTCCTCTTGGGGTAAAGTGGAGTGGACCACGGGAATGTAGAGAGGGGCTAGACTAGATCTGCAGCTCCCATGCAACCTTGGGATATGAGGGACCTTGGAGGGGAGGTCCTGCGGGGCTGAAAATCTCTTCGGGGCAGAGCTTGGTCTCTGTAATGCTTTGTACCCACAGCCTTGGGTGCTTAATAATTAATAAAATGTTGAATTTTTAAAAGCATATTTTGGTTAAAAACCATATAGGGCCCAGTGTTCCCCATGTTAAGATTTTGCTTACTCACCATCAGGTCATACCAAGCTCTAGTTACATCACTATAAACTCCTTTCTATCTCAGTATCCTTGTTTTCTTTCTCTGCTAGTCTGTCTTCAGACATCTGCTTCCTAATCTCTGGGATCCTCTTCACCATCCCCAACCTCATCTTCAACTTGTACAACAAACCAGGCGATTCTAGAGTTTCCCTAAATGTTTACAGCCTTTTATCTCAAATCTCCCTTGGTACCTTTCCTTTTTCTCAGGCTCCTCTTAATTCATTGGAAATGGCCCATGGCCATGAACTCATTCACCCCCTTCTCTATATCTCAAAACCCCTTGATCTTATTAATATGCTGTTAACATATGCTGGTCCCTTTAGGCCAAGGTCAGCCCTTCTGTTGGTTCCAACAGATCCTATCTTTAGATCACCCCCAGGTATGGGGTAAGAAAATGAAACTCCCTACCCAGTCTGCGTTCAGAATGGAAGATTTGTACCTAAGAATTAAAACAAGGTGATTTGGAATGGGGAAAGCTTTGTGGGACAATGCCACTTGCAGCTGGAAAAAATTGTGATTAAGGTGTGTATTCCTATCTGGGCTAAGCCATGACAAGAGGAGGTGGTACAGGTCAAAGGCTATTCTGGGGGTGCTGAATCGAGTGGGCAGGGAGGCTGGAGAGATGACTTGGAGGCTGGCAGGCAGTGGGAACCTCTAGAGTAAGAGGTACAAGGTTGTTTTCTGCTCTGGTCACTGTCAGTGTTTGGGGAGGACTGAGCAGAGTGGGGACCAATCCCTGATGAGTGAAAGCTTGGGTGAATGGGGTGAGGGGGAGTGGTTGTGGTTTCTCAAGTTGAGGTCCCACTTTACACCATTTCTTTGGAAGAAGTGGGGGGATGTCAAGAGTTCTCTTTTGAACATGTTGAGTTGTAACTATTATGTAGGCAGTGGGTGGTACAAGAGGGCAGTTAGGTTGTAAACGGGATAGAATGCCAGGCCTGAAGTGGAACTAGTCTTCTGAGTTCAAATCTAGCTCAACACGAGCTGAGCTGCGTGACCTTGGGAAACTCACTTATCCCTGTGGTCCTAAGGGGGGTTTCTCTGTGTCGTGAGGTCAGACAGGACTGAACAAGATAGAAGGTAGAGAAGAAAACTGGGCTGGACATAACGACCTTGGAGTCATTATGTGACACAAGCTAAACTGAGGGATTGAGAGCCGTAAGAGTATCCAGCAGCCAGTATCAGGTGGCCCCGAAGGACCCCATAGTAAGCATTTAAATGCTCATTGATGATGTTGGACACACGACTTGATAACTTCTGAGCAATCTGGACCAGGTGCTGGAGGCCATGAGTGTGGATGAGAAAGGGAGAGATCCAGAATGGTCACCTGAGGGGATGGTTGTTAGGAAGGGCAGCCTTGAGCAGCTCTGACGGTGGGCTAGAGGGCTTGGAAAGGCAGCTGAGCTGGAGTTGAGTAGAGTACAAGGGCAGGGCTTTGGTAAAGAAAAGGGGTCCCCTCGTCCAAGATGGTGAGAAACGATGAGTGATGGAGGGTGATGTAAAAGGGTTTATGAAGAACTCATGTGAATGACCTAATTTTCTGTTAGCAGAGGCAGGAAGGGGGTGACCAGTGAGAGGAGCAGGGGACAAAGGATTTGAAGGTTTGATGACAATGTAGGATTGAGCAGGTTCGCTTGGGGTGGGGAGGAATATGAAGTAGAAGGAATGGGGAGGTCTCATTCAGTTGGTTTTCAATTGTGTCTGACTCTGACCCTACTTGGGGTTTTCTTGGCAGAGATCCTGAAGTGGTTTCCCATTTGCTTCTCCAGCTCATTTTACAGATGAGGACACTGAGACCAACAGGGTTAAGTGACTTGCCCAGGGTCACGCAACTAGTGTTTCAGGTCATATTTGCACTCAGGTCTTCCTGACTACAGGCATGCACTCTCATCCCGTGTACTACCGCAAAGGGCCAAAGAAGAAGTTGGGCAGGCTGAGACAGAGCCAAGGAGTATGACAGGAGGTTAGAGTCAGGAATTCCTATTAAGGAAGTGGAACAGAGTAATGGTGAGGGCCAGGTTAGGACAACTTATGTGGGGCGTGGTGTGAACCAGCTGTTCATGGGATCTAAGGAGACAAATTGGGAAGCTGAGGAGTTGGAGGAGCGCCCTTGTATGAGGGCGTGGATGGAGCCAGGCACCCCTACTTCATTCTCTCCCTGGGTCCTTCCCCTCTGCCTATAACTCACCTGTGTCTCCTCCTTTCGTGGCCAAATGACCAGAAAAGGCTGGCTATTCTCCTTGTTTTCACTTATTTCTCAGCCCTTTGCAATCTGGTCTCTGACTTCATCAGCCAACTCTCCAAAATCACTGAGCTTAGGTAGATCGTCAGAACTGCTGACCTTTTCTCAGTCCTCGCCATTTGGGGTGGCGACTGCAGCATTTGCCTCTTCTAAGGTATACTAAGCTAGGCGGTGCAATGGATAGTCTTGGCAGGAGAACTGGAGTTCAAATCTGGCCTCAGAGAGTAGCTGGGTGCTTCACAACTCGTAGACCAAACAAAGCAGCTCCTGCCACGTGCCAGGAGCTGTGATAAGGGCTAGGGATACAAAAAAGGCAAAAGGCAGTCCCTGTCTGCTAGGAGCTCCCAGCCAACAGGGCCACATCGTGCAAACAAATCAGCTATGTACAGGATAAGATGGATTGTAGAGGCTTCCTGGAGAAAGCAGGATTTTATCTGGCACTAGAAGGAAGCCAGGAGACCAGGGAAGCAGATGAGGAAGGGCATTTAGGGTATGGAGGGTAGCCAAAGAAAATGCTGCGGGGCCTAGTTCGAGGAGCAGCCAGCCAGGTAGCCACTGTCACTGGACCCAAAAGTGTGTGGGGAATGAGGTGTAAGAAGAATAAGGTTCTTTTAAGAACCTTAGTAAGAGTAAGGGAGGGCCAGGTTAGGATAGGCTTCCAATGTCAAACAGCATTTGGTGTTTGATCCTGGAGGCGACAGGGAGCCCCAGTGCACTTTGCTGAATGGAGGATGGAGTGGAGTTGGGGAGAGATTGGAGGCAGGCTGATCCACCTCTATCTGTTCTTAGGGGCCACTAGGTGGCGCTGCAGAGGACGGGGTGTAGGCCCTGGACTCAGGAAGACTATTGTTCAAATCTGGCCTCAAACACTTAGTAACTGTGTGACCCTGGAGAAGTCACTTTATCCTGTTTGCCTCAGTTTCCTCATCTGTAAAATGAACCGGAAAAGGAAATGCCAAATCACTCCACATCTTTGCCAAGAAAACCCCAAATGGGGTCAAGGAGAGTCAAACACAATGTGAACAACAACAGATACTTTCTAATCTTTCTATACTCTCACCTAGAAGGAAAAAAGCTTTTATTAAGCACCTACTATGTGCCAGGCACTGTGCCTAGGCTTTAAGAATATCTCATTTGATCCTCAAACGACCCTGGGAGGTAAGTGTTCTCATTAGTCCTATTTTATAAGGAAATGGACATAGGCTTGCCTGGGGTCACTCACTAGTAAGTGTGTGAGGTCAAATTTGAACTCAGGTCTTCCTGACCCCAGGCCCAGCACTCTAGCTGCTACATAGAAAGAAAAGCATATAAAGAGGGTAGAGTGGGCTCACCCACTGCACTACCAGCTCCCATGAGTTCAAGGTCTCTGTGCTTGATGACTCCCAGGTCCCATTTGTTTCCAGCCCTAACCATTCTCCTGGCCCATCTCCAACTGCCTATACAGGATATATCATCCACGTAGGGAAGACACTGGCATTAAGAGGGATTGGTAAAGGCTTCCTGGAGGAAGCAGGATTTTTATCTGGGACTTGGAAGCTAAGAAAGCTGGGAGACAGAGATGAGGAAGGAGAACATGTTTCCCATCTCCAACTGCCTATCAAACATCTCAACCTAGATGTCCTACAGACATCTTAAACTCAACATGTTGGAAACTGGACTTATCTTTCCTTCCAAGCCTTCCCCTCTTCTGAAATTCCTTCTACGTCATGGAGGCTACCACCAGCCTCCCAGGCACCCAGGCTTGAAACGTAGAGGTCTCCTGGACCCTTCACTCACACTCACTGCACATATCCAAACAGTTCCCTTCCCAACATCCAGTTTACCCAGCGGTCACCCTAGGTCAGGAGCTCATGACCACCCTTCAAAGCTATTGCAATAGCCCTTGGCAACTTTCAAAAGTAATTTTCCTAAAGCACAAGTCTGACCACGTCATTCCTCTGCTCAAAAACTTTCATTGCCCCATAATTCCATCTGGGACCTAATACAAAATCTTGCCTCAGCCTACCTTTGGAAATTTATGATACATCCTTCTCCTCCCTGCACTGTATGATCCAGCCAAAGGCACACTCTGTACTCCATCTCATCCTCTACACCTGGGGTGATTTCCTCTTATCTCTGCATCTCCCAATCTCTATTTTCCTTTGAGACTCAGATCAAGCCCCAGCTTTTGCATGAAGCCTCCCAATAACTCCCCAGTTACTGGCAAATTCTCTTCCCCCATCACATTGTATTCACTTTGTTTTTGAAAATAAATTTTATTGAT